GCAAATGGGTCCCTATCGATTCCTTTCTTTCCACTGAATTCCACTATAAGAAATTATGTCTGTGGCCGTCTAATAGCTGGACTAAATTCATCCCCTCCAGCAGACTACAGCATCCTATAATTCACACAATTGCCCTGCTGTTGAACCTATCACTGCCCCTTCTTGCCCTCATGCACTTCAGATGGAGAGCCCAGCACATGTGACCTTCCTTTTGGAGCTTTTGTTGTTGTTTGGTTGCTTCGTTTTGTTTCTATTTTTGTTTTGTTTTGTGTTTTGGTTTGTTCTTTGCTTTTGTTTTTTTAAGCTGTAGATTTCTTATTGAGTTCTTTCTAAATTAATTAATTAGTTTTTCCAGGCCCTATCACAGTTTCTCCTCCCTCCCTCCTCTGTAAGCACCCCCCCAGCTCCCCTTGAACCCCCACCCCCATCCACTCCTCCTCTTGCCTCCTATGGATATCAGCTAGCCGATGTAACAGGCTGTATCAAGTTGCAGTAAGAGTGACCTTTCATTTTCATTCCCAGTACCACATCTAGAATCTGGCCTGTGCTTCATAAACTTCTCCTCTGTTAATGAAATTGGGAGCCCTTACCTTCAGAATTCTGTTAATATAAGAACACACTTGGAATAGGTGGCCCAAGACCCTGCTACCATAGCCCTGAAATATGTGTAGTTTACAAACAAGCTCATGAGCTTCACTGTGTTCTTGCTTCTACCTCAATGAACATTTCTCTCTAGTGACGATAAAATTCATGTGTTGTGCCAATTTTTCTTTAGCTTCGTGGAAGATGGCAAAGTTAAAATTTAATTTTCAACCTGTACAAGTGGGTCTTCTACTTTGATTGGTAGTATTTAAATATTTAAACTTATAGAATCAGAATTCATTATATTTTCCTTCTAGGAAATATATTTTATCACCTCCATTTCCACAAAATTACATGCAATGATAATATAATTTCAAGTAACTTGCATTCTTCTTACAAACATGCCCAACAGTATGGTGTTTTCTGAGCTATGCATCCTCTCTGCTCTCATTTTTTTTCCTACTTAAAAAATGCAAGCACAGTTTTGCTTTGAGATTTTTTTCTTTCAATCTTTTTCCTTGTGTCAGTTCTACTTGCAAAATCTTCTTTGTCTACCCAATCTGAACTTGTACTCCTTCATGTACTTAAAGAATAAAAGACACAATTTTATCTGAAAATCACATAGTTTGAACTTATAGCTTATAAAAGATAAGCTTTTCATGTAAACTTTTAATTGATTACAATTTCATGTAAAATATTTCAATAAAGCTAAAATCCGAAAAAGTCATATACATAATGTTTATACAAAAAGCATTTAAGGTTGTCATTTATAGGTATAGTTTGTCTAAAACAAATCAAATTTCATGTTATTGGTTTTGCTGTGATGTTCCATACATATGTATATTGTGCTATAATCAATCTTACCCAGCCCCCACTAACATCTTGTAGCCTTTCTTCTCTCCTCTTAGCTGTCACTTCCTACCCTAATCATTCTAATCGTCGCTCTTTTACCTTCAGATATTTTTCCTCCGTAGGTTCTATGGCTGTGAGAAAATATGTAATACCTGTCTCTGGAAGTGTGTTTGGCTCCACATACATACTGGGCGCCTCTAAATGACGCGACTCCTTTCATTTTGGAGGCCGAGTAAAACCCCACTGGGAGCACACACAATTTCTTTTTGCATCCTGTGATGGGAACCTACTCTGATGCTGTAACTTTGCCACTGTGAGCGCTGTACCCATAAACGTGGGCAGCTCCTCTGTGTGCCAGCTTCATTTCCTCCCTGATCCCTGAGCATGGTCAACCTGGATCATGTGGTGTTTCTATTTTTAGGTTTTGAAACAAGCTCAGTGCTGTTTTCCATGGTGGCTGTATGACTTAAAACTTCCTACCAGCAGTATAAAGGGTTACTTTCCTTTTCTCTCTAGCTGACCGCCTTTGTGTTTTGGTACAGCCATTCTGAATGGGAGAAAATGAAATTTTTCTGTCTTTGGTTCATGTTTCTCTGACAGCTGAAGGTATTGGGTATTCTTTTGCACATTTAATAATCATTTGTGTTTCTACTTTTAAGAAGTAACTATTCAGATACTTACCCATTTGTTAATTAGACTGCTTGTTTTCCGTTCTTTTATTGGCAACTTTTGTGAGTGCATTGTGTGTATCCGGCTCCTGTCATCCCTCCATCCTTTCTCCAGTGCCTTAGATCGGTTTAGAAAAGGATTTTTCAGACAAGTTTATCTCTTTGTTCCATTGGTCTGTTGCATTGGCCTTTTAATTTCTATTTCTACTCTGATCATTATCCCTTTTGTCTTGTTCCAATTTTCTAAGACCTTGAGATGTACTACTAGGGTACATATTTTAGCTCTCTTTGATTTTTTTTTTTTAATGTAGGAACTCATAACTCTAAGTTTCCCCTCTCAAAACTGCTATGACTGTAGGCTGTGTTCCATTTTCATGGACTCTGGGAATCTCCAGATTTCTCCCCCTCGCTCTCACCTTATCAGAAAGGACACTTAACTCTGCGGCCCAGGTTGACCTTGTCCTAGAAATACTCTTCTCTCATCTTCCCACGTGCCTGGATTCCTGGGATGTGACAGTTCTAGCCTTCAACAGTCAGCGAGTTGTCAAAGCATCAGTAACATTGTTCGTGTCCATCATGTCTAACATTATTCTTCTATGAGCCTGGGAAATAGGAATCACTCAGCATTCACCATCTCGGCTAGCCAGCACATACATACGCTTGGAATCACGAAAAACTTCTGACGAACTTCAGTACCAAAGCCAGAGACAGCTTTAGAAAATGTGAAGCTGTTCATTTGAAGATGATATTCACCATGTAATAATCTATTCCGTTTCTGCACCCATACTTAGAGCCTGGCAAGTCAGTGTGGTGCCTCCCTCAAACGCTCCCGCACTGTAACTTGGGTATGGGCAAAATGTGGACTAGACTGTCTGGGGGCCTAGTGGTTGTCAATCATAACCATAGTGATACAGTCACAAGAAGAAAGGCTTAACTTACTTAATTTTCATACATAAACCGTTTACACTTGTTGCTATATATTGCTTCTTGCTCTGAGACAACAGCAAATGCTGGATCCCAGGTAACACAGGAGCCTATGAGCGACTTCTGTATAGCATCTGCACAACAATAAACGCATGAGCCCCAGGGCAAGAGTCTCCCAATGTTGATGGTCCGGGTACTATTGTATTAATTTCCTATGTATGAAAATGATCTATAAATATTCCTCTTAAAATGAAAGAACACTAAGCATCTAGAAGAGGAGGTTGTAAGAAGGCAGAAAGAGTGATGAAGTTGGAGATGGATGAAGCAAAGCATCTTGTTCACACTTTGTTTAGTGTTGTCCTGGAAGACTGGTCACTTTTGCTTCTATGTGAGAACACCTCTCCCTGCTCCAAAGCTTCCTGAATTAACCTTGTTCAAATAATTTAAAAGTTTGGTTTGAGGCTGTAGTCTCTTGTGTACTCCATCGGGGTTCACATCACCCCCTGATCAGGTTTTGAGAAGTGGGCATGGCTTCTGGGTTTTTCTTTCTTTATTAACAATCGAATTACTTCAATCTACATTTTTATTATTTGTCAAAGAATGCAAAGCGTGGGGTGTTTCTGTAAAGATGCAAAGCCCTCAGCTTCACTGAGAGTCACAGATTCCCAAAGGGATTTCTCAGCAGCTGCTTTCATCCTGAAGAAAAACGGTGATATTTGGGATTTGGTTGTGTTTATTGTTATTGCCAGATTTGGCCAACAGGTTTATATTAGTGAGACGGAACAGAGTAAAACCTATTCCAGGGCTGGGGAAATGCTTGGTTAGTAGAGACTTGCTGTGCAGGCAGGAGACATGAGTCTAGATCCCCAGAACCCAGGTAAAAAGCCAGAAATACTGCTGAGAGTCTATAATCCAAGCTCTTGGGAAGCAGAGGAGGGGCCCTGTTTCTCCCTGGTCAGTCAAACCAAATCAGTAAGCTCCAGGCTCAATGAGAGACCCTGTCTCAATAAAATTAAAAAAAAATGCGACTAAAGAAGACACTGACTTTTACCTCTTCCCTCCTCACATGCATCCACATACATACACACATGTACACATATGTGCACACATCTACATAAACACAAATATATAAAACACACACACTCAGCAACATTCTATATGTCTCTTCTACCCAGCTCCATATGCCTAGATCCTGTAAACAGCCTTAGGCTACCTTCTTTAAGTCACATATTAGAAAATCCCTCCAAGGAAATAAAAAATATACTATGACTTAGAAGTTAAATATATTTTTCTATCCTCAAGTATCTTAATTCTTTAAGTGTTAAAATTAGGTTGAGATGTGACTGCCCATGCATGTGACACACATGTCCCATGTTAATCAGCAATTATGGCTTCTACTTTAAGTCATACTTGATTCCTTAGAAAGCTAATTCTTCCTGTCACTGTGTATTTGGCTAAAAGCAACCAAAGTCTAAGAGCCTCCAGATAAATGCAAATTTTACTATGTTGTTAATCTTTCTCTGTCAAAATTCTCATCTGTTTCCAAATGAGACATAATAAAATACTCAAACCATTTTATAGTGTATCACTTGGCCTTTCCTTGTAGGATCCAGGATTATTTTATCTTATTTTTAAATATGGGTGTATCTGTGTGTGGGTATGTGCACATGAGTGTAGGTTCCCCTGGAATTGGAATTACATGCAGCTGTGAGCCACCCAACATGGACACTGTGCTCCAAACTCCAGACCTCTCTAAGAGCAGCAAACATTCTTAACCACTGAACCATCTTTCTTGTCCCTTCAGGATTATTTTCCCATGCTACAGAATGTTAGGTCTGCCTTCAGCAACACACTATGCCTGGAATACACAATAATTTTCTTCTTTATAGAAATGCCGATAACAAAGGTCAGTTGGAACCCAGTGCCTTGTCTGCAAGCCACGCTTTATTAATTGTGTGATTTTATCTGTTACAGAACATGAGAAGCAGCGGTTATGCAAGAGCACCGATTATATGAATTTGCATTTCAAAGTGAAATGGTTTTATAATGAGTATGTACGAGAACTTCCTGCCTTCAAGGATGCTGTTCCAGAATATTCCTTGTAAGTAGTGATTTTTCACTCTCCCGCTTTGTCCCAAATTCACAGTGTTGCAAAATTACAGCTGAGTGGTGAAGACTAAGAGCTCTTTCACATGCTCCTCCTTTGAATGTAGACGTTTCTGTAGGAAAACCGCTGTGGGAAGATTGGCGCATCTCTGAGGCCGTGAAGATGGTGATGCATATTTCAGTAGTCAGATATTCAAGGAGAAAGAAACACCAAATGGGCTCTGGTTTAGATGGTGAAATTATTTCCTGTAAAAGTGCCAGACTGCATAGTCCTGGGGAGATGGCTCAGCAGTCTAAACATTGGCCACACAAGCTTGCGGACCAGTGATTGAGTTCCCAGAAACCCACACAAAACGCCAGGTGGGTGTGGTGGCTGCCCTTTCAGAGGATAGAGAGGGGGCACCCCTAGAACAAGCTGACTGCCAAGACTAACCATATCAGTAAGCTCTGGATTTGATTGAGAGAGTCTGACAAAGGTGGGAAAGTGAAGGAGGATGATTCCCAACAACAACCATCGACCTCCCATGCATGCCCAAACAGGTGCGTGAGCACACGCACACACACATGCACACTCAAGCAGGTGCATGAGCACCTGCACACACATGTAAAACCATGCATAGACACATATGCACAGCCATGGACCTCCACATGCATGCTCAAGCAGGTTCATGAGCACCCACATACACATATAAAACCAGGCAATTACACATATGCACAGCACACACAAAAGAGAGAAAGTAAAAAAGAAAAAAATGTTAGAATGCTTTTACTGGCTTTTAGGTAACCAGACTTTAATTTTAATACAAGTTAGAACTGTCTTTGAAATTCATGTATCTGGAATAGAAACCACGATTTACCAATGAAATTTTCCTTTTATGAGTTTTTTTTCCCATCTTAGTTTCTTTTCTCTTGGCTGTGATGGAAGACCTTCCAGAAACAATGTAAGGGAGACTGTTGATTTTGGTTCACAGTTCGGGGTCATCCTCTACCACAGGAGGAAGGCCACAGCGGCGGGCACTGGAGACGTCTGTCACATCACAGCCACAGTCCAGAAGCAGATGAACACTGTACATAGCTCACTTCCTCCATTGTATACAGTTCAGGGCCCCAGCCCAGGTAATGGAGTCTCCCACAGCTGTGGGTCTTCACACCTCAATTGACTGAATGAAGATGCTCCCTCAGAGACATCCCAGAGGCCCAAGATAATTCTAGACCTTAGAAGATTGATAGTCGAGATTAACTGTCAGAGTGTCTGTCAAACGCATTTGTCGTCACGCAGCCACAGAGAGTATTCTGAATTTAATGTTCATCAGAACGCCATTTTATTCTGGTCAAAGCGGTCTTCCGGTCTACAGAAGATTAGTGTGTGAGATAAAGACTTCTCCCTGAAGAAGCATATTATTTGGGCAATAATTATTGTCACAGACGTTAAAAAAATTACATCTTGAAATTTTCAGGCAAACAGAAAACAACATTTTGAGTGAGGTAACCCAGACACAGAAAGACAATTATCACATGTACTCACTCATAGTTTTTAAACATAAAGCAAAGAAAACCAGCCGACAAATCACAATCCCAGAGAACCTAGACAACAAAGAATACCCTAAAAGAGACATACAGAGATCTAATCTACATGGGAAGTAGAAAAAGACAAGATCTCCTGAGTAAATTAGGAGCATGGGGACCTTGGGAGAGGGTTGGAAAGGAGGGAAGAGGCAGGGAGGGAGCAGAAAAATATGTAGAATTCAATAAAAGTCAATAAAAAAAGATATAACAAAGCAGAGCAAAATGAAACAGGCTAATTTAAAGAGCATTAACAATTCACAAGAAGGGTGTTATTGCATTTGAAGGACTGACGCTCCAGATGGAGTAGCATCTATGATAGACTTTAAAAACTCAATCAGGTCAGGTCATACACACACACACACACACACACACACACACACACAGCAAGAAAAACCAAGAAAGTGCTGATATGGAAATGAAGGCTGAGAATTTGGACTCCTTGGGTTCTGACACATTGATACTCTTGCTCTTCTGGTGAAGTGTAAGGTATTTTTCCCAGAGCAGTAGGCAGTGGTAACAGAAAAGCAGCTTTCAACTAGACTGATACAAATAGATGCTGTGAGGCCGCTCCAGTCATTAGGCATCATGGGAACCAGAAGCAACAGAGAGTGTGGACACAGCAGAGATTTAGGAGTTAATGAGCAGTGTAATCATGGGATACTAAGAGCCTCAGCGTAATCTCCTCAGAGAGGTACATGAGATGGAACAGCCTGGTGACCCAAGTCAACAGTCTACACCATGAAGGGTGCATAGGAGGAGGCAGGTCACAAGATGCGCTGGGGAGGTGGCTCAGCAGTCAAAGCATTTGCTTCTCAAATGTTAGGAATGGCATTCCAAGGACCCACGTAAATGCCACATGGGCACAGAGGGCTGCCTGTAAATACAGCCATTAGAAATTGGAAAGGGAGGATCCCTACAGCAAGTTGCCTGGTTAGACTAAGCAAGTCAGTGAGCTCTGGGATCATTAAGAGACTCTGTCTCAATGAATTTGGTGAGATCAACAATGGAAGACACCCGGGATCTACATCCAACCTCTACATGCACATGCAAAAAAGAACAAGTTAGAACTTCTAGAAAATTGCTAAGAACTGATTTTATGTGTTCTGACTCCAAATTTCATAAGTGTGCTGGGTAATGTATCTTTATTAATGTTTTAATTTAACATCCAAAGCAGTGGGGTTTCTATGACGTTTTATACAGGCTTTGTTCCTATTCAGTTATAAATGCTAATTGGCTTGGATTAACTTATCCACAGATATGCTTATGTCAAAGCATGTATGAATAAACATGTATACTTTATAAGAGTTAATGATAAAATAAAATAAAATCATGTTTTGTCATAAATAAAAAGCTTACTAAATAAAAATTAAAAACAGAAAACCATATAGAATGACGTGCTATATCCTAAAAGCTTACTATTATACAGAGCACTTGAAATGAGAGCAGGAAGGGTTAAAGACACGTGCAAGAAAAACTCTGAAGATAGAATTTATAGAATTTGTGCAACTGAAAACATATGAGTAAAAATGAACACAAAAAGAGTTGGACATGAAGTAAATGCACCTAAAGCAGTTGCTGGCATCTTGATTGAGCATAGGGAAGTAAAACAGAGGGGCTGTCTGCCAGACATCTGCTTCTGGCTGTCTAGACTTATTACATTAAGCTAAAATCACACTCATGCTTGCTGAACGCCAGCTAAAAAAGTGAGCAAGATTAAACAGAGTCAGAGAGCAACCAAGGCAGCTGGGAATGAAGGATTGGTATCCTTGAGGAGGGAGAAGCATGCAGAAGACGGCCTGCACACAGCAGACGGCCTGCACACAGTAGCTGCACTCCATGTTCCACACTTAGGTCCAGTTCTGCAGACTTGGAGATCGAACCCACGGCTAATGGTTCAGAGTGGTAGAGCAATCTCCCTAGAGAGAAGCAATCGCTGATGTCCAGGATCAAGAAGGCTCATTATTCAGGTAGGATGAAAATCCCAGGAAAAGGGAAGGACAAGAAAGTGAGCACAAAGACTCCACGAGTATGTTCCCCAGAGGCTGGAAACTTACTGTCTTCCTCCATACCTCTCTACCTATTCACTCGGGCGAGGTCTTTCAGTTGATTCCAGTGCTCACCTCAAAGACTGGGTGAAGCCAACTTGTCAGCTTACTCCAAAGACCCTCTTCCACCTTCTAAGTGCTGTGACTAAGAGGATACAGATGTGCTGCCCCCTCTGGGGATCTGAATAACTTCCCACTAGTAATCTACATTAGTGTGAAGACCGAGGAAGAAAACCATCAAGTAGAAAGTAGACACCAAGACTTTGTTAACTAGCTAGAGTCTTCAGCAGCCCCGCTGTGTGAATGGAACAGCAGGAGGAAGAGGACCAGACTTCTGGCGGGGGTGGGGGGTTAGGGGGAAAGGGGTGCATTGTAAACTGCCCTGTCTCCCAGTGGGATCTGGAGGGCTCTGTCCTTTAAATAAGAACAAACATGAAAAGAGCAGCTCAGGAGCCAGCCTTGTCCAAAGGGAGCTGTTCTCCCCCAAGTGCCCTCTCCAAGGGAAAATTTAACCCTCCCTGGAGTAAGTGATCAATAAAAAGTCCGCATGGGACAGGAGAGATGGCCCACCAGTTAAGAGCACTGGCTGCTCTTGAGGAGGATCTGGATTAAGTTCCCAGATGGTCCACAGCCCTCTGTGACTTCAGTTCCAGAGGATCTGTTGCCCTCTTCTGACTTCCATGGGCACCAGGCATGCATGCTGTACACAGGCAGACAGGAGAACAAACCCTCACACACACACACACACACACACACACACACACACACACACACACACACGTACAAAGCTCTTAAAGGGGAAGAAACAATCCCTCATAGGCAGCAATGTAGCGTTCAACAAACAAAATTAGGAGCTACCTCACCAGAGGACCCAAATATCTCGATCCCAGGAGAAAACACAAATGTTAATATTATCAGTTATCGACTTTGGTTTATGATTTAAAATATTGGAGAGTTTTAACAGAAAATTTTTTTTGTGTAAATTTTATTAAATTATAAAAGTTTCCATTTCCGCCCCCCCCCCACCCCCGCCCCCCCCCCCCCACTCCCCCCCTCCTTCCCCTCCGTCCCCCAGGGCAGTCAGGGTTTCCTACCCTTAACAGAAAATTTTAATCTATAAGAATGGATTAGAAATTATAGAACTGAGGTAAAACAAGCTATAACAGATAAGATTAATGATAAACTATGTAGAGCATAAAAGGCACAAAAACGGCTGAAATGTAGATTTAGAGGGAGTGTCTGTATATAAAGAGAGAGTATAAAAGCAATAAATTATAAGCCCCAAATGGCAAAAGGTACGGGAAACAGTGTGTACAATTAAGGTACCAAAATCTGAGTCCTGGAAAATGAGAAAACGGGAGAAATTGTACAATTAGTCACAAAAATAACTACTGCATTAAAAATTGAAGAAAATTGCTGGGTTTTTTTGTTTTGTTTGAGACAGGGTTTAACTGTGTAGCCCTGACTGTTCTGAAACTTACTGTGTAGACCAGGCTGGCCTCAAACTCAGAGATCTGCCTGACTCTGCCTCTCAAGTGTTGGGATGAAAGGCGTGCACCACCATGCCCAGCTAAAATCTATCTTAATCCGATAAAATAAACCCTAAAACAAACAAACAAATGAAACAGTGTGAAAACAAGTAAGGAGGTCATAGTCATATGAGGTCATAGTCAGCTGTTGAAAGCACTTGAAATAAGAGTGAACATGAGAAGAACAGCCCGGGAGCCAGTCTGTGCAAGGCTGTCCACACTACTCCCACGGAGTACCAGAGTTCAATTCTTGGCACCCACATCAGGTGGCTCAAATACTTGTAACTTCAGAGGATCCAATGCCCTCTCTGGACTACAGGCACTGCATTCATGTGCACAAAGACACACATAATTAAAATATTCTAAAATCTTTCTTTAAAAAGGAAATGACTAAAGAGGTATGATGTGGATGAGCAACATTTCCAGAGCTTCTCACTGGGGAAAGGACTAGACTTACCTAGTAATGGGTGAGGTTGAAGGCAAACGTTAAAAGCTGGGGGACTACACTATGGGTTACCAAGGCTTATTTAAAAGATAGAGTTTTAGAAGAGTGGAACGGATGTATGAAGAGAACAAAGTTGGTTGGAGATGCGCCCATACATATGCCACTGCCTGGTCAATGAACTTTTAGAGACATAGTACTAAAATAACTGGGCATCTTTGTGAAAATGGGGGGGGGTGTTGAAACTTACCTCAAACTAGTCACAAAACCCAAAGCAGGTAGATCATAGGGTATATTTAAAAATTGAAGGTAAAGCAGATTGCCTACAGATTTATGGGTCTACACAGCTCAGTGGAAAGGAATTATGGGACGGTGGGATAGTATATCTCAAGGCTCAGCACAGGAGGGCTACAGTCAACAGAAATTGGAATCTTAAATAGGAGGGACTTGCCCGGTGGGTTTTAGGAACTAAGCATATTTGAGGCAGTGTAGGAGTACAAAGAAAGAGAGATTCAAGATGAGGAAGACACATTTGATGATGTTGATGATGTATAACCCTCCACAGAGGATCAAAACTGAGAGAGGTTGCTGATCCTGAATCACCCTCATACGGAGCAACACAGCTGTTCATCACAACTGATGTCCTGGGAGGTGACATGTTTATTTTTTTTTTCTAGGTGGTTTGAGCCTTTCGTCATGCAGTGGCTAGATGAAAATGAAGATGTGTCCATGGAGTTCCTTCATGGAGCACTGGGAAGAGACAAAAAAGATGGAGTAAGTCCAGGCAGAGCCAGGATTCATTTACATTTCTCACCTCAGAGCAAGTAGGAAATATGGGGCTCATTGTTTTTAGTTTTATTTCAATTCCTCAGTGTCCTAAACAGATTTAACACTATTTCAAAAAGTTGGAGGACCTGATTGAATAAAAATGAAAACAAGAAAAGTCAATCACTATTTTGCCTGAAATTCTTCTTTGTTGTCTAAGTCTGACTCTATCAGCTCCCCTGGCTCTTCCAAAACCTCTGTCTTCATGGAAGACTCTAAAATTAAGGTAGAAGTGATGAGGAAAACACTCAACATTAACCTCTGCTCTCTAAATGCGTGTACAAAATGTACACTACACAAAAAGCCATGGCTTTAGCAGAAGAAAATACATTCCTTTAATGTACCTCAACAAAGCCCTTATGTCTAATTTATAGCTATCTTTTAGAGATGGTCTTTATGATCATTTTTTCCCTAAAATGACTGTGCTACCAGGCATCTGTGAGGACCAGCACTGATGGTTTTGTTTGGATTTGCTCTTGAGAGTGGTATCATATAACCCAGGCTGTTAGCCAAAGCTGATCTCCAACTCCTGATCCTTTTGCCTTAGACTCTCAAGTGCTCGTCTAACAGGTATCACCACCAAGCCTTACCAAACCTGATTGTTAAGGAAAAGATAGAACAAGTCTCTGTACAATAGACCAGCAGGTCAAAGAGGTCAGAGAACATTGTCTATGGACAACAATAATAATAATAGTGACTCTATCAAGTGTGTGAATCTTCTACCCATAACAACATAAATCATTAGAATATGTCCTTTCATAAATTAGAAATTCTTTTCTTTGAGCCTTTACTCCATTTCCCTAAGCCTAGGCTTGTTTGTAAAACTGCTTCTCCCATCTCCAAACCATCACCCTATGGTTTGGTTCCAAAGGGCGATAAGACATCAGCTCTCAAGTTTACAGGCTGCTGATTATGGGGAGAGCTCATCCTCAATGACCTTCAACCCCAACTCGGGGACCAGGTATGAGAGAATCTCTGCTTAGAAATGTCGTGACGCCCCTTTCCCTCCCTTCCTTTCTTCTTGCCTCTCAGTTCCAGCAGACATCGGATCATGCCCTCTTCTCTTGTTCCGTGGTTGATGTCTTTGCTCAGCTTAACCAGAGCTTTGAGATCATCAAGAAACTGGAATGCCCCAATCCTGAAGCCTTGTCCCACTTAATGCGAAGGTTTGCAAAGGTAGGTGGCATCGGGCGTGTCTTCTCTGGGAAAAGCCAACCTAGACATCTCTGCTGTGTCAGAGCGTTAGGATTTAGTGTCATTTGGAAAGGAGCCCCCTTTTTAGGATTTTGAAACAGGGGAGATGCATTTCACTTAAAAAAAAAATTGGGGGCCTGACTACACAGTTCTGTGTGTGAGGGGAACACTGGCCAGGCCCTGGGCTGGTGAGGTGACTCCAGATGCGCATCTGATAGGAGCTCTCTGGTGGTTACTCGCAGTTACTCACGCAGCTACTGCTCTGAGGGCACTATCTTGAGTGAACTTAATCTTTGACTAAAAAACAACTCATACTGACGAGGTTAAAATCTTACACCACGGCAGTTTCAAATGTAATCATCAAGCCCAGAGAAGCTGCAAGAACTTGTATTTTCTGGATCTTGTGAATAGAGGAATAAACCTTATTCTCCTAATAAATAGGCACAAAAATTTATCTGTCTTGTTAAAAAAATTAAGAAATGCCAAAAACTCATTTTAAATTGTGAAACATTTAAGGTCTTAGTTTATTAGTTCTACTGTAATAAAATGTGCTAGCATCCTTTAACATCAGAAATATCTTTTCTTGCAGTTGGAAGATTGACAGTTCAGGGTCCTTATGTATTTGGTTTCTTCTGAGGCCTTGTAGTTTGCAGAAGGCTACCTTTCCAACCTCCCAACATGCCCTCACAGGGACTGTGTTCTGAGCACTCTGCTCTCTCTCTCTCTCTCTCTCTCTCTCTCTCTCTCTCTCTCTCTGTGTGTGTGTGTGTGTGTGTGTGTGTGTGTGTGTGTGTTTGTCTCACAAAGAAACCTACCAATTGCATTATAGTGTCCACTCTAGAAGTATCATTTTAACTTAATTGCCTTTACTGCCTTTTTAAGATCTTACCTCTAAACAAATTGAAGACATTCTATCTGGATATTTGTCACATTTTGGACTCCTAGTGATTAGCTCTTTTGACTGTCAAGTTTTGAGAAAACCACTTAGTTCACAGCAGATGGGCACACTGAGCACATAACTGCTCTTAACTACAAACATGATGTGTCTATAACTTCATTTGTCGTTACCCCCAATGAGCTGTGGATGGGAGGCTCAGCTCTGCCCTGATATTGGCCCTGCCTCTCAGAAGAAGGTTTACATTTTCTTCTAATTAGTGAGGATGTCTTCCAGCAGATAATATCTTTTTACACTGTGTCAAAACAGATCGTCCTGTGGTAACAATTTATAAGCTCCACGGTTCACAGAGATTTACTTCTGGGTCACGGAACATCAGACAGCTTAGGTGATCCTGGAGAGACCTCTTCATTGTTGTATGACTCAAGAGTTCCTGTCTGAGAGGGCTGACAAGGGGAGAGCAGGGCTCTGAAGGCTCGAAGAGCTAACTGAGAAAATCAGCGGTACAATGTGAAAAGATATGAGAAAAAGTCAAAATGGCGGGCCTGACGTGGCCAACAGCTAGCATCCCAGAAGGATTCCAGGCAAACTGTCAGACAAATTCTATTACAGTATTTGTCCACTATGAAATGCATTAAACTCATCTTTGCTAATTAGGATGACTAAGAAAACTCTTTGCTTGTTAAGATACTAGCTGAGAGTAATTTATTTGGGTCATTCCTAGAAAGGATTTTCCTGGTGATTATAATTTCTTATTATGGTAAAATCTGTAGAATTATCCCGAAGATTCCTAAAGCCTGTCCTTAACTAAATATTAGATAGTTGTCCCTCAAATAGAACAAGGTGTAATCATTAGGAAGACTGTGTTTGAAACAACTCAGAGTGGAAGGAATATCATGGAGGAGTGAAGAGCTGGGGCCCCAACTCCCACTTCATCCCCAGCAGCTCTGACCTTTTTGCACTTCTCAAACTGACCCAATATTAGACAGGTGGAGAGCCACAAAAGAGGTTTCAAAAGAATATACGTAGGAAAACACATTGCCTAAGCTAGATGAAAAGTGGCATCTTACACGTGTCACGGGAAAACTGTAAGGTTTTGTTGGCACAATCAATTTTTCTATTAAATAGAGCATTTTTTAATCCCTGGAAAATTGGACATCCTAGTGATAGCAAGTTCTTATTGCAGGTATCATTTCCTGGAAATGTAGCTATTAGTAATTAGCATTGAAAAAGAAATTCTATTTTTGATGATTATTTGGAAACCATGTAACTCTTTGTAATTCTCATAGAGACTGACAGGGGAAAAAAATAAAAGGCTGAAACAGTTAATTCATTACATAACTATAAAAGTAAAGTCCATTCACATCCATTACCAGTACCAGCCTCTTAATCCACAGTTTGCATCTTGAGTAAAAGAGTTAATAAAGAATGAGAGTTGGCAGCTCTTGCAGTAACAACAGACTATCTGATATTTGTCTTATTTCATTCTAACATCAGGTGTGGCCTTTGGTCTTGAAGACCTGTCCTTCTTGGTTCCTTGCATCAAACTATACTGAAATCGCAATGCCTTAAAATACTTTAAATTGTATTTTAAAATACCTCTGGTAAGAGATGGTAATAATATCCCCAGACATCTCAGAAGATTTAACAATCTAAAATGAGTGTCACAGGAGTGATTCACCTTACTGAAGTGCGCACCCAGCTTTACAAGATACTGAACGAATCTGCACATTTCAGCATGGTGACACAGAGAGGTGCCGAGTGGCTAAGGGTTTGTAAACTTGGTACATCTAAATTAGATATCGATGTGACCGTCCTACTGCTCTGGACAGGTGCAGGTGGTTAAATTTTTTAAAGAAATATGGGGGTTGGAGCTATGGTTCACTGGCTAAGATGACTGGCTTCCTTTACAGAGGACCCAGATTCAAGTCTCAGTGGTCATGTGGTGGCTCACAACCTCCTATAACTGGTTCTAGTAAATCTGACACCTTTTTTCTGTAAGCACTGCACACATAAACATGCGTACATGGAGGCATATACCCATAAACAAAAGTTAAATAAATTTATAAAATTGTTTAAAGACATGTGAAATAATAATTGTTTTCTCTAAAATTACTTAGAAACAGCACATCTTCTTTGTGATTGTGAACATTGAGGTGTTTGACAGATGTTGGAGTTATGGAATATGAGACATGCATATTGTTCTTCCTCATGCTCTGAAACCTAATCCTAACTTTAAAAAGTAATAATGACAATCCATCAAGAATAATGATATATTAATCATTTTATTTATGGTGCATCACCTCTCTCCCTAAAACCCATAAGGTACGGACTGCTGCCCTCCCATGGTATTTTATGATGACATAGGATGAAAGGATATGGGACTAAGATAAAGCACCCCAGTATTAATGTCTTGTAGTGATACTTCCAACTATTGGCCAGCCTTCCATCTCACCCCAATGTGATCTGATACCCATTGTTGAGTTGGAGACTAGAATCTCATTTACTATTTTTACTCTTAAGACAAAGCCTAGGAATCTGTGGCAGAGTAAATAGGAGAAATATCATAAGCAGAATGTATTAAAATAGACCGAGGACACAGAACCCTCTTCTGCAGCGGCTGAATTGCCATAAGAGTCTCCCTCGCCTGAGAGAGTTTGTCAACACTTGAAATGTGATTCAGGGGCTTGGAGAAGACTATCAAGTTGATAATTGCTGAGAAAGCATCAGATCCTAAGTTTTGTTTCCCAGCATAGCTGGAGAAAGTTGGGCAGGGGGGCAGGTACCTGTAATCCCAGCATTGGACATCCAGAGACAGCACGATCCAGTGTTCAATCAAGTTGAGGAGAGCAATTGAGGAAATTTTGCCATGTCAACCTCTGTTTTACACACACACAAACACACACACACACACACACAAATAAAGCATCTGAACCAGAATTTCTGACTTACAGATCCTAAGATCAATGCAATGGATAAGCCTACCAGGTGGGCTGACCCGATACTAACTCAGGAAATCATAGTACATTGCTGATGTTGTTGGCCAGCCCCTTCAATATACCAGCAGTGGCAGTCTGTCACATCAGAACTTTCCCAGGCCAGAGGACATTTTTGTCATCCTGGCTGATTCTTTAAATGTCATAGACTCTCACTTCACTGCCACAATCCCTTTAGGACTCGATGTTTTTAAGTCCGAAGTTCTTTGACCATCTGTCCTTCTGGGGCATTAATCCCTCACCGTCTGCTATCACTTCTTTATATAAACTGTATTCGATTATGAGCAGGATGCAGACATTCACCAAGAGGCTGCCCCGGTGAGCGCACTTCCCCCACCTTCTATCCACCCCTCCCCCATCCCCTTGACTGTTACTGATTTTATAGCCCAGAATGCTTTAAAGGTAAAACCACACCTAGAAACCCCTGTGTGAGCCTTGCTAGAGACTCCTTTCCCAAACAGCTTCTCTCTGAAGAGTGACCTCTACCCTGCAGGCCACCAGCTCCTCAAGACCATGATTCTGAAGTGTTGCTGTGCAACTTATTCAGCTGAAGGTGGTTTGTTGAAAACAGAGGCGTCTGGTGATGCCGACTGCACATATCCGAGGCAGGCTGTGAGAATTTGCGTCTCCCTGTTTGCAAGCAATGCTGATGACAGTTCCCAGAGCCACACTCAGATAAGCAATGGTTTGGAAGGCATGCCCTAAACAACTGCTAATTTGAAGTAAAATAATAATAATAATAATAATAATAATAATAATAATGACCAAATTTGGTTTATTTTAGTGAATAAATTAGAATGAAATTGAAGTTGGCCTTCAAATGCACACTGAAACTCCTCACTCCGATGTATTGATACAGTAGAGCCAAATCCCCAGGGCTGTTACAGCAGCACTGTAGAGCACCATAGGTTTATATAAGGTCTCCAGCCACACCCAGCATGGCCATGTCTTTCCTCACCACAGCCCACCCATATTTGACTGTTACCATCAGCAGGCTAGTGAGTGTGAGGGTCAGGAGCAGTTTTCTCCAATCGGGCAGAGAAGGGGTGGTGTTTTTCTCTGAAGTAGATCACAGTAGCACAGCATGGAGGATTCGTATAGAGCAATTCTAGACGACCACGCCTTCCTTCTCCAGAAAAACAAGTTAAAGCCGCCTAGCAGACATCTAACTTTCTAAATGACACTGAACCGTGCAGGGTATTTTTCCATCCACCTCTCACCCCCAGCGTTTTATGTCTGAGATACAGCAGGCAAGGCCATGAGGACTATGGCTTATGGGTATGGGTTTGGGTGGCAGGGTATTATCATTGCCACAGTCTGCACTGTCGGTAAGAAACTGCATTGAGAGTTGCATTCACAAGCACAGATGAGCGAACCCTCCCCGGAAATCCCACAGTTGCTCAGCATGGCATCTAGAGGGAAATATGAACGGCTCCACTTGGAAGAGACTTCTGTCTAATCAGCCGTCTGTTTCCGTGGATTTATTGATCTACTTCTTAATGAGATCTTCTGGTTTTTGAGGCCAAATTTCTATTTAAACTGAGTCTCATTATCTCAGTACCAAGCACTTCTGTAAAGCATCAATCTCCTGTCGACACATTATCCCTAATTCTTTCTGCTTATTGTGAACTTAAAAGTCAATAAAACAAGTTTATAGTCAAATTTGGTGGATTCAGTCTGTGGGCTAAATATTCCTCCCTGAGTTTAACTCTTTAGAATATCGCTACCAGTGCATTGCGAACCACTGTGGGAGCAGGGAGTATTTTTATTTATATGTATGTGCATCTGTGTGTTGGTGTGGGTGCATACGAATGTGAATGCAGGAGCTTGCAGATGTCATAACGGGCTGGGGCTGGGGATCAGCTCCCTGATAACTAGAGTTATAGAGTAGCCTTATGGGAGTGCTCAGAATGGAACCTGGGCCCTGTAGACCAGTGCAAGCTCATACCTCCTGAGACATCAGTCCAAAGAAATATATTTGAAAAGGAGATGATTTTGGTCTTTGATTATTCTACAATAAATGACATACTTCAATCATTACTGTGACTTCATCCTTTTTAAGAAGATGGCATTCACAGTTGACATGTTACTTCTACCTGAATGTAAAAGCCAAAGAAGGCAAACTCCGTGATGTATCTTCACACAATTATAATATATTTAATTAACACAGTTCATTTTTCTCTCTTCCCCATAATTAACAGAAGCGGGGGTTACAAGTAGTTTTAGAAAGAAAAGCAGAAAATATCAAATTTGGATCCAAAAGAGAAGTAAGTCAGCAACATTTTTAGCAAATGATGTGCTACTAAATAACAGTAAATAAACAATTCATTGCTGCATAACAGTAAGCAGACAAATACCCAGATAGAGAAGGAAAGAATGAAATAACAAAATCTGAGTTTTCACACTTTAATAGTAGCGTGTGATAGCATACAGTGTAATTTCTTATTGTTAAAGAGAATCGCTGTTGAATGGCGGTGTAAGAATGTCTAACCTCTCTTGTAAACGAGGCACCGAGGAATGGTGGAGAAAGGGGAGAAAATGGCCACTGCAAATAACCTTAATGTTATAGACATGGGGTGATGAAAGGGAGCTAGAAGCCCTAAGAGAGCACTCCAAGCTGGCAGTCTCCAGCTAGAAAGGTGGGGAAACGTGTGATATCATGAGACATTAAGTCCCTAAGATGGTAAGAGATTGCCACGAGACAGCCCATGCACCTTCTGAGCAACTTTAGGAAATAACTATGTGATAGAATGAGTTATGCTCTGATAAATTGGATCTGTGTGGTGTGTTTGAAGTGCCTTTCAGAATGCTGGCAAACTCATACACATGCAACGATTTGTGATTCCTCCTTGGACACAGATATGGGTTGAGCCCTCCTCTGGTTCTCTTTAGCCTGGATATTATTGTCTCTGTGAGATGGTACACTTAACTCCGTTTACTGACGTGTATTGTGCAATATTTTCCTTCTCAGACCATCAATAAGGTTCTGGTCCAGTACGCGGCCATTGTATCGAGTGACTTCAGTTCATACTGCGATAAGGAGGCTGTGGTAAGTAGAACCCCCTGCTGCTGAGTGTCCCTAAGTCGAGACTTGCATTTTCTGACATCAGCTAAGTAAGAGATCATCAATATCTGTTTGATCAGGGATAACAAGAGCTTGGGAATCTCAGGGCACTGCCTACAAACCTCTCCAGTCACCGTGAGCAGGTGTCCATGCAGGATTGGAGAGAAGGCCACTGCTTGCCGAGTTATGGTTTCCTAGGTTGTCAGAACTGAGATGATAAACCATGGAAAATGCACAAACTCTTTAAAGCACTGACACTGAGAACAAGGGAGTTCAGAACTACAGTGTCGACATCAACCACTGTTGGCCTTGTTACCAACCCTAAAATAAGTATAATTTAGCCTTGGTTTTCAAATCAATTGAGAAGGGGAGTAAATGCACAGGGCAAGGGTGCATCCCCCTATGAATTATCCATATCCCCCTGTTTGCGATGATCCAGGAAATACTTGTAAAATCCAAAACGGTATTGCAACTTATTCAGCAAAAAGCATAAAGAAAGCCGAGATGAACTGAAGCTGTTTGGAATGTAATTAAAGCGAGCTGGGGGTGGAAAGGGAAGGTGTTCTTACTTCTGTCCTTAGTATTCAGAGAAATGTGTAGCCAACACTGAATTTTTAAAAAGAGTAATGCTGAAACACATATACGGGATTTTCAAGAGCAAGTTTTCCCTCCCCCTTCCAAAAATAGAAATAAAAATGAAAACCAGTCCACACTGGTCTGCAAGGCTGAAGGGGAACTGTGAGCTGGGCGGCAACAACCCCGCTCACCCCCGGCTGACAGCTCATGAAGACAAGTCAGCCCCGGTGATTCTGGAAGATTCCAGTAGACGCCTCTTTCCCTTCCGTTAATATGCTGCCCAGAAATTTGATTATAACTTTCAGACTATCTCAGTACTGATTTCCAGCCACCTTTGGCTCCAGCCCTCTAACAGGCAGAATATTTACTCGGTAGAAGCATATATTTTCATTTAAAGGTTAAGAGATGATGCATACCTTCAGCGTTATTCTGCAAATCAGAAGGGTGTGCTGTAGTTTCAGCAAATACTCAATTGCTGTTAAGATGGCAAGATGTGGATTTGGAAAGTTGGCTGTGAAATAACTGATTTCTGTCAGCCCCTTAAAGCCTGGGCGGTCTTCCCTTCACATGCTAGCATTCTGAATTCTGAATCCTAGGGAAAGCCCTCAGACAATTAATTATACATCAATATTTACTGTATTATTTTATGTTATTCGTATCGGAGTTGTATTTTTCAGAATCAGCTTTTTTCAGTATTGTTTATTTGTGTGTGTGCACATGCTAAGGAAATAAACAAAATAAAATTTTCAAGAAGACATGACCCTAACATTTGATGTGTTAGGGATCAGAATTAAAGTTCACACTTAAAGAAAATGTCTACTTGAGAGTAATTTTTGTAGCATGACATGCTATTTTAGTTTAGTATTTGAGACCGGTTTCATGAAGCCCAGGATGACACTGAATTTGCCATTTACTCCGCTTCTGACCCATCTACCTTCACTCCCTGAGTGCTAGGGTTCCTGTTGTGACTCCCAGAACCCATATTCCTGTGACAATTTAAATTAGAAGTGGATCGAACCACTTTTATGCCTTTTGTCACCATTCCAACCAATGCCAGAGCACCCTTTTCTAAATCAAGATTTCTTTATTTTAGACATTCTATCTTTATTAATTCAAACACTTTAGCCATATAGGTTTGTCCCTAGTTTGAGTAAAATTAGTATTACAACAGTTCTCAGTTAAGATAAATTAAAATGTGGACAATATGTTTATAAGGAAAATCAAAATGTACACACACGGAGTTACAGCTACACCCAAACTTTCCTTCCATCTCCACAAACTTTCTAATAAGCAATATAATTAGATTTAGATAATTCTTTTACTGGATATTTCTCTTTTTTTTTCTCCCAGATTTTAAAGATAAGGTCTTATTCCATAGCCCATGCTAGCTTTGAACTTTGAGTTTTCCAGCCTCAGCCTCCCCAGTTCTGAGAATCTAGGCATGTGCCATGGATGCCTAGAGGGGTTTATTCATACATTTATTTATTTATTCTTACTCATTGACTACATAATTGTTAGAATCAAGCTGTTTTATGTTTGAGGTATAATTAAGCAATAGCCTAGTTCTTAATAATGATTTGATAAGCCAATATAATTAAAGTGAACTTTATCTAGAAAATTCAACTCCATCTCTTGTTTCCCCATACTCTTTATATGGAGTGAGTAGCTATTGTGCAAGGTGGGTCCAGCTCTCTATGTCCATTTTATTCTCCCTAGGTTTTTTACAATAAGAAAAGATCATATTTGAGTCAGAGTATAGCTTTTACATAAAAAAGTTGTTACTCTAGTCCTGTTCTATGTGCTGAGTAAAATAGGCATTAAGGCTGACATCAAATAAAACACAGAAGGGCCCAGCTAACTTGGGTGAGGGAGAAGCAGGTGCTGATGCTGTCTACCCAGGTAGTCTTCTACTTCTCATCAGATGTCAAGGTCATACTTTGACCTTGGCTTTCTTTTTGATAGGCTTCCCCAAATCCAAGGCACATCCCCTACACCTGCCTTTCTGCCATATTTTTCAGCTGAAACTGTGTGTTTCTTCCATTTGTGGAACCACAAACGTTTTGAATCCTCCTGTAAAACGAACGATTTGAATACATCTATCGAATGGAGTGTGCCTACCTCAAGCAGTACTGACGGTGACTTGGGGATTAGGGAATCAAAGCTGCTTCTGGAGCATCCAACTCAGCACCTGGAAACTCTGTAGCATAAATCACAGTTATCTGTGTTTAAAAAAATAAAATATTTAAGTGGCCAGAATCCAGGGAACAGAAGTTTAAAATTGTTTCCATAAATCAAACTTAGATTGTGGTCACTTTAAGAGTCAAGTACAAAGTCTCTCCGAGGTCTGTGATGTGGTTAAGGTAATAATAAAATCTTTCCACTGATGAGAGCTAACGCCTCTTTGATGTCCCATGAGTCCTTTGTCTGACCTTCTGATTCATTACTGGCTCACTTCCCAGCCACTTGGACATATCCACTTCCTGCCTCTGTCATCTCCAGCTCTGAGCCACTAACTCTTCAGAATCAATATGGAGCAACTATCCACTGATTTTGCAACTATGCCAAAATCTATTTTCTGATTAGAAATTCCGAATTGACACCTAGTCTTGTCACAAAGATTTTTATCGCCATCGTCCTTTCCTGTTCCGTGCGAGCACAGTACACAGCCCACCCGAAGCTTCAGCAGCGTGCGCTGTGTTTGCATTGAGCTCGTAATGACAGTAAAGAACAACCCAATGCGAAGTCTTAGAAAACAGATGCAAAGTAGGTGATAGAAAAGTCGAAATCTAGGAAATAAAATCCCTACCTAAAGGATGGGAAAGGGGGCCCAAATAAGCAAAGAAAAAATGAGAAGGGAAGCCCACTTGCTCTGGAACTAGATAATGAAGAGACTTGAGTCAATAGCTTTGGGACTTTATTGATAACTAGAGACTCCATTGAAGGTTTTCTCATTTTTGTAAGATTTCTTGGATTTTAAAAAATTACAGGTGTTCTTTTGGTTTTCAAGCAGCAAGATTACCAAGGAATTGAAATTGATTTTCTTAAAATAAAAATTTTCCAAAATAGACTATGGTAGGTTGGGGATATAGTTCAGTTGGAAGAGCATTTACAAAGCGTGTATGAAGTTCTAGGTTTGATCCCCAGCACAACAGAAGCCAGGCCTGGTAGTGCATGCATGTCACCCTGGCACTTTGGAAGTAGAGGCAGGAGAATCAGAAGTTCAAGGTCATCTTCAGTCATCTAGTAAGTCTGAGACTAGCCTGGAATACATGAAACATCGCCTCAAAAAAATAATGATAACATATAAAACATGGCTAATTCCAATGTTAAAACTACCACAACATGAGGAAGAAAGGGTGCTGATAGCTAGTCTCTGTGAGCTACTGCATGAGTTTGTTCTTAAATTGTGTTCTCCCAAATGACCTTCTAGTTCCTTTCTATTCCCAGCCATTAAAGCCATCATTCAAAGTAGCAGAATTATTACATATGAAGTGTATTATAGGCCATAGGTAACAGCTACAACCTAAACAGGTACAACCTAAACTCACTACAGAGGTAACATGGAAAGGATGCTCACATTCACCTCTCGTTCTCTTTCTGTAAGCCCTGCATCTTGATGAACAACATCCAACAACTGCGGGTCCAACTGGAAAAAATGTTCGAATCCATGGGCGGGAAAGAGGTGAGTGTGTGACCATTCCTATCTTTAACAAATACCTCTTGGGGGGATATTAGTAGCATTTTGCTTTGCTTTGGAAAGTGTCTTACTTTTTGAAATGTTTTGCCAACAAGCAGGAAACATTTTTAATCTCTAAAATCCCATTGACAATTATGGCCATCGCTATGACAATATTTTAGTCAGGGGAGGTATACTCAGGAGCAGGGAGAGAGCCAGCTGTCTTGTTGTACAACTAAAACGTATGCATATATGATAATGATTAGTAGTACAGTGAAGACTACACTTTATACTGTTGTATACTGTCACCTTGAAGTTGACGCTTGTTTTAGAATCCAGATGTGGCAACAGTGGTTTTTGGCTATGTCAGTGCTTAATTTTTCACATCGTGAAAGCCGCGTCAAATGTGCTCTGTGTTGTGTCCGTAATGTGTCGTGTCTCTGTTCAACATCTTTGCCTTGCAATTCCCCGAGCAGAAGAAGGAAGGAGAGAGGTTCTCCTATGAGGTTTGTGATGGCAAGCGTTACCCGCTTCCCCTGGCTGTTGTGCTCACCCTCCATGTGAAGATCATCGCACGGCCACGTGCTCTCTCTCATTGGCTTGTTGGGATCAGGCAGAGAACAGTACACTAGCTTGCATCCGCCTCTTCCTGCTTGCCAAGGTCCTGTCTTTTCTTACAAACTGATGTGCACATCTGGGGATTGAGGAATAGGGAAGATGTTGAAGGCGAGAGCCACAGAGCAGCTCGTCTTCCCCATCTCATCCTGATCACCGCCAACAGCAACAAGAATAGAACAAACCCTTGGGGCTGGAAGGATGGCTCAGCATCCTTAAAGGACCTGGCCGCTCTTCCAGAGGACTCGGGTTTGAGCCCCAACGCCTACATATCAACCCTAGTTCCAGGCCATCTGATTCCCTCTCTGGCCCTCTCAGGCACTGCATACACATGGCACATATTATGCAAGCAGGCAAACACTCGGACACATGAAGTAAAGTTTTTAAAAGAGAAAACAGACCCAGTGGAGCTGTATCCAGGGTGTTTCTAACTCACCTACATCAGCCTCTCTGTCTAGTAAGCTGTGGGCCCATGCCGAAAGCTAGGTTAGGAATCAAAGCAAACTCCCCTTTTATTTGTAAATGTTTGAGGTTGTAGAGTCCTCATTTAATGTCAGCCCTCTTTCTGTGAAATGAATCTTTAAACCTAAGGAGAAATTCAGCTCCCCCATCTATGTCTCATTTTCCATCTTTAAAAAAAAAATCAAGCTGCTATCCTGTCTCTTATAAACAAGAAGTGCTAGAATACAGTTTTAAAATAAAGTGAGTTTTTTTTCTGAGCTGTGCTTCCCTGGTAGTGTTAGTTCAGTTTGTGTGAAAGACCTTAATCCCTGCCGTGCAGTAATGCCTGCCCCAGGCTTTGAGGACATCAGTCTCATTTCTGGATTCTTCTGTTGAAACTGATGGGCATGACAGTTGGGGATCTTCACATAAGATTCCATTTCTAATTTTCCTGATGCTGCATATTCAGCCATTTCTATCTATTTCATATTTTTGGAAGTAATGAAGAAATCATTCATTTCTTATGAGAAATCTCATGTCCAAAATTCAGTGAAAATTAAATATCAGGAATCATTTAAGAATGAGATTAGATACTAAATGACCTATTTCTAGAAACTTCCCCCTCTGCTCCAAATATTTCTCTGCTGTTCTGAGTTTGAGCTCTACTGTGGATAATATTTGCTGAGCTGAGTATTAACTAGATGAATCAGAGCCGATAGGGCCAAAGACTCATGGGGCCTGTGGCTAAAAGAAGCCACCTGCTACCTAAGCCCCTGTCAAAGAGACTTCTTCACCAGTCAGAAGTGAGTTCTTACTTCTGCTGCAGTTTCCAATTTGAAGGGCACACGTTCCCATTATAAACTGGATGTAAATATAAGTTCTTCCTTCATAATGCAAGCTATGCCTATTTACTGAGTGCCTTGTGCGTAGCATACAAGGAAAATGCAGTTCAGTAAGTGAGAGACCAAGGCCTGGTTTCTAGCTGTATAATCTATGGGATGAATCACAGTGGCTTCAGTGGCTTTCAATTCTTTCTTCGAAATACTTCTGACTCCTCTCTCCTATATTCAATGTCCTCCTGTCTCTCTATATATACAGAGTTTTCCCCTTTCCCTTCCATTTTAATCTGGCTTCTGTTGCCGAGAAAAACTCAGAGCTGGCATAGGGACTTGTGAAAGCTAAGAAGAAAATAAGACCCAACCCAAGGCCGAGTGCAACACACAACTTTCCAGGACAGTTGTGCTTAATTAATATATAATTACGTTAGAGTTGCTATGTTCGGCTTCCTTCATGACTAAGGTTATGAAGATGATCTGCAAATTTCTTCCAATAGGCTCATCTGTGAGTGACAATCATTTAAACAAGTTCCTTCACTTGGGGCCTTTCCAGAAATCGGAAAGTATTTTATTGAAACTTGGCTTGAAGGTATATGGCTGCAATCCCAGAACTGGAGAAATGGGAGTAGGAGGATGAGAAGTCAGCTGTTGTCCTTGGCTATGCAAAGAGGTCAAGGCCAGCATAGGATATGCAAGACCTTGCCTCACCCTAAAAAATATCCGAAGGAAAAAGAGATGATGATATAGGATGTGACCAGGAGTCGCCTTTTGCTGTAAGACATATATACAGTACTTAGTACAGGCATATTCAACAGCCTTTGAAAGGCTTTTTTACCATGTGAGGCTAAGGAGATACTCATGGGTAAGACCATTGACCATAGGCTGGGCAGTGGTGGCACATGCCTTTAATCCCAGCACTCGGAAGGCAGAGACAGGCAGATAGATCTCTGTGAGTTCGAAACCAGCCTGGTCTACAGAGCTAGTTCCAGGACAGCTAGAGCTGTTACACAGAGAAATCCTGTCTCAAAAAAAAAAAATCATTGGCCATGGAAGCGTGAAGACCTGATATCAATTCCACAGAACCCATGCAAAAATTCAGGCATGATCACATTCACAAATACATACCTGTAACAGCAGTATAATAACAGTGCTGTAGTGAGGAGAGACAGGAGGATCTCTGGGACCTGCTGGCCTCCACCCTAGTTCCAGATTCAGTGAGAGACCCTGTCTCAAGGGAATAAAGCCGAGTAACAGGGTAAGACACCCACTATCATTATCTGACTTCTACATGCATGAATAAGGACACACACACACACACACACACACACACACACGTGCATATACATCATACACATGTACCATGCATACACACATATGTCATTTTTCAAATCATAAGCTCTTCCTTGTGAACTAATCTCAGCTGTCAATTTCTTCTCCAAGTGCAGCTGTATAGTGAATCTTAGCTGATACCAGTGACATCCTCCATGCCAGACCCAGTTTCTCCTCTCTCAGGAGCCTGTTATGTTTACCCCTCTATGCTGGGGTGTGTCTTTCTCTCTACAAAAGTCAAGTTAGCAGATGATTGCTTGTGCATCTGCTCAGAGTAGTCTTACATGTCACGTGTTTGTTAGCCAGGCTTTCCGCACAGGCCGCTTGCCTCGAGCACTGTTCACAGCTGGCTGCTTGCAGACACATCTGCATGACGTTGCTTTGACTTGGGCACTGCCGGGATAGCTCTTCCCTCACAGGACAACGTGGACACAGAAGTGTTTCACACTTGGGGTTTGGTTTTGCGCTGTCTGTTGGTGGGAACAGCTACCTTCTGCATGGGGTCCAAACGGAAACACTGCCAATCAGCCTTCGGGATCATTGTATTGAAACCTATACAGCCTATATTAGAATCTGACTTGGGACAAAACAAAGTTAATCATTTGCTGCATCATCACCATCCTGTGTCATATGGTGCTCCTGTGTACCGCAATAATAGTAAAAACATCATGGCATTGCCATTCACTGGTGAATGATTAGTCACTTGTTCTGTACTAGATGGAATAACTCAAAACATGAACATTATACTCTATACTAGTTTGTGTCTTGACTATAACTCCATGAATGTCTATTTCAAGTTCCTTTGTGTTAATTTCCTAACATGAGTGGGTTGTAATGACCCTTGGAAGTGACTTGGAGATTTGCCTTTGATCTGAAATCTATGAAAAAGAAAATTAAATCATTTAAAGTTTAATTTCTTTGCAGGAAGTCCTAATATATCGGTTGGGATACTCCATGAAAGTTACATGAGTTGGTTTAGGAGAAGTCTGCCTGTGCCCTGTGAGCAGAGACTGTCTGCATTGTGGTGTGACCACGTGACATGGTGGCACCTGCAGTTATTCATCAGCTTAATGACCATTGATAGTACTCCAAACTCTAGACCAGTGGTTCTCCACCTTCCTGGTGCTGTGACCCTTTAATACAGTTCCTCATGTTGTGGTGACCCCCAACCATAAAATTATTTTCGTTGCTACTTCATAACTATAATTTTGCTACTGTTATTAGTCACAAATATCTGATATGCAGTATATCTGATATGCGACCCCCAGGTTGAGAACCACTGCTCTAGGAGTTATTTCTTATTGAGAAACTTAGAGAAAAGGAAGTTTTTACTAAGCTACATTTCCATTCCCCTTACCATAACGCAGACCCAGTGAGCGCCATGGAAACGCGATTTTTATTGACATGTCTCAAATATAACTGAGTTTCCGACTCTGGTCTCAATGGGGACTTCCCTGTAAGAATAAGTTTTGTGTTTGTCCATGGAGAATAGAGCCCAGGAGTCTGGAGCATATGCTATGTCTCTTTAGGTGAGCAACTTCATTCTTGTGTTTCAGTCATATGTATCCGAATTATTCTAAACTTTAAATGCTGGGTTAGCATTTGACTGCTCCGGTGTGTGGTGTACAACTCACTGAAGTTCTTCCCCAAACCTATAACCACACAGATTTGGTGAGTTCTCTAAGCAGTTCCAGACAAGACAGGAAGCAGAGAACCTGGGGTGAGGCTCATTGCCTAAAGACAGGAGGCCTCCATATAGGTAGTCACTGAACTTCAAGCACACAC